TACCATCCCTGACTTCAAACTCTATTACAGAGCTACAGTGATGAAAACAGTGTGGTACTGGCATAAAAACAGAGAAGTCGACCAATGGAATCGTATAGAAGACCCGAATTTTAACCCACAAACCTATGAACACCTCATTTTTGATAAAGGAGCCAAAAGTATACAATGAGAGAAAGAAAGCATCTTTAACAAATGGTGCTGGCATAACTGGATGTCAACCTGTAGAAGAATGAAAATAGACCCATATCTATCACCATGCACAAAACTCAAGTCCAAATGAATTAAAGACCTCACTATCAGTCAGAACATATTGAACCTGATAGAAGAGAAAGTGGGAAGTACCCTACAACAGATGGGCACAGGAGATCGCTTCCTATGTGTAACCCCAACAGCACAGACTTTAAGGGCAACATTGAATAAATGGGACCTACTAAAACTGAGAAGCTTCTGAAAAGCAAAGGACACTGTCAACATGACAAAAAGGCAACCTACTGACTGGGAGAAGATCTTCACCAACCCCGCAATAGACAAAGGACTGATCTCCAAAATATATAGAGAACTCAGGAAACTAGACTTTAAAATGCTAATTAACCCAATTAAAAAATGGGGCACTGAACTGAACAGAGAATTCTCAGCAGAGGAAGTTCAAATGGCCAAAAGACACTTAAGGTCATGCTCAACCTCCTTAGCAATCAGGGAAATGCAAATCAAAACAACTTTGAGATATCATCTTACACATGTCAGAATGGCTAAAATAAAAAACTCCAATGATAGCCTTTGCTGGAGAGGCTGTGGAGGAAGGGGAACCCTCATCCATTGCTGGTGGGAATGCAATCTTGTGCAACCACTTTGGAAATCGGTGTTTCGGTTTCTCAGGAAATTCGGGATCAACTTACCCCTGGACCCAGCAATACCACTCCTGGGAATATACCCAAGAGATGCCCTATCATATGACAAGAGCATTTGTTCAACTATGTTCATAGCAGTATTATTTGTAATAGCCAGAACCTGGAAACAACCTAGATGCCCTTCAATGGAAGAATGGATGAAGAAAGTGTGGAATATCTACACATTAGAGTACTATGCTGCGGTAAAAAACAATGACTTCTCAAATTTTGCGTGCAAATGGATGGAAATAGAAAACACTATCCTGAGTGAGGTAACCCAGACCCAAAAAGATGAATATGGGATGTACTCACTCATAATTGGTTTCTAGCCATAAACAAGGGTCCCGGAGTCTACAATTGGTGATCCCAAAGAAGCTAAGTAAGAAGGTGAACCAAAGGAAAAGCATATAGTTGTCCTCTTGGCCATGGGAATTAGACAAAATTGCCGGGGAGAAAATTGGGATCTTGGGGGTGGGGTGGGATGGGGGTAAGGGGAGATGGGGAGAGAAAAGGGTGAAGGGGAGAATGGGGGGAACTTGGGGAAAAAGGAAGATTGGGAAAAAGGAAGGTTGAATAGGGGAGCACGGAAGCACAATTCTTAGTTAAGGGAGCCACCTTAGGGTTGGCAAGAGACTTGAACCTAGAGTGGCTCAAATGCCCAAGCCGAGGTCCCCAGTTAGTTCCTTGGGCAGCTGAGGATAGGGAATCTGAAATGACCCTATCCTATAGCAATACTGACGAATATCTTGCATATCATCATAGAACCTTCATCTGGTGATGGATGGAGACAGAGACACAGACCCACACTGGAGCACTGGACTGAGCTCCCAAGGTCCCAATGAGGAGCAGAAGGAGGGAAAACATGAGCAAAGAAGTCGGGACCACGAGGGGAGCACCCACCCACTGAGACAGTGGAGCTGATCTATTGGGAGCTCACCAAGGCCAGCTGGACTGTGACTGAAAAATCATGTGATAAAACTTGACTCTCTGAGCATGGCGAACAATGAGGGCTGATGAGAAGCCAAGGACAATGGCACGGGGTTTTGAACCTACGTAATGTGCTGGCTTTGTGGGAGCCTAGCCAGTTTGGATGTTAACCTTCCTAGAAATGGACGGAGGGGGGGAGGACCTAGGACTTACTACAGGGCAGGGAACCCTGACTGCTCTTTGGGCTGGAGAGGGAGGGGGAGAGGAGTAGGGTGAGGGGGAGAAGGGTGGGAGGAGGGGGAGAAGGGTGGGAGGAGGGGGAGGGAAATGGGAGGCTGGAAGGAGGAGGAAATTTGGTTTTTTTTCTCCTTTTCTCAATAAAAAAATAAATAAATAAAAAAGAAAGGAAAAAAAAGAAAAGAACAGGCTCCCTAGGGATAGCAATTGAACATGGCACAACAAGAAAAAAAAAATTACTTCACTCAACTGCCAACTGAGATAAATCTGGCACACAGGTTACACCCTAAATGATATGATTAACAGCATCCCCATTCAGCAGGAAGCAGTTTGGAGAGAAAAAACTGCGCCCATGTTCCCAAAATATTGTTTATAAATGTTCTTCTACATTTAAAGGGGAAAATGATATAGGTATGAATAATTTGCATTGGTATGGATTTTAAGGTCAATTTTGTTATATGTATATGTATTTCTGATCTTGATTAAGGTATTGTGATTGTGTAGTTCATTTTTAAAATGTAATGTATAACTAGGAAATATAGGTTGTTGATGGATAATCATAAATAATGGTCAAGTTTGTAGTCATGTTACTTAGATTTTCTAGATATATAGAGATATATTTCAGATAGGGATTCTTCATATCTCTCAAAGGCTGTAGAATATGGCATTTAAAATATTTTAATAACTTAGGACTTTTCATGACAATGAGACATGTCTGCTCCTGGCAGCACCAATCTACTTCGAGAGGAAGATGGGCATCGAAGAGGATCCTTATGGAGTTTGATAGCCATTTGGGCAAGAAACTGCTCTTGCCTGGACTGTTGCATAAAATGGACACAGAGAACCCGCAGAGAGAGGACTGCTGAACTTGCCTAAAGGTGAGACTGTCTTTTGGGGTTCATGACTTATGAAAGAGTCTGCAAGAGATTCTGCAGGACACAGCAGAAAGTGACTGAACTGTCTTTGAATTTTCGTGCTTCATGGAAATGTCTCTGGATACTATGGGCCTGAAGGCCGAAGATGGATGCCCCAATGGTACAGAGGAACTTTGGGTGACTGTCCAGGCAGCGAGATGTCTCTGTCATTTCTAGAGCTTTGGATTTCTTGTTTGCTTAGGTAATATTATATCCTTCTGGAGTCTTTGATGGAGTTGAAGAATGGTTAGTTATAGTTATAGTTTTCCTTGGTTATGATAAAAGATAAAGTAGATATAAATATTGTAACTGTAATTCTTGCTTGATATCTGTTTTGCTATATGTAATTTTACTATGTTAAAATGAAAGACTTTTTTGTTTAAACAGAAAAAGGGGAAATGATGTGGGAGTCTGCTGTTTTGTGTTGATCTCATTGGTTAAATAAAGAGACTGCCTTGGCCCTTTAAGAGGACAGAAAATTAGGTAGGCGGAGTAAACAGAACAGAATGCTGGGAGAAAGAAGCAGATTGAGGAGTCGCCATGATTCTCCTACCAGACACAGAGGCAGGTTAAGATCTTCCCTGGTAAGACACCTCGTGGTGTTACAGGGATATTAGAAATGGGTTAGGTCAATATGTAAGAGCTAGCCAATAAGAGGCTGGAACTAATGGGCCATGTAGTGTTTAAAAGAATACAGTTTCCGTGTAATTATTTCGGGACATAAGCTAACCATGGGGGTGGCTGGGTGCCGGAGACGCAGCCCCGCTGCTCATAATGCAAGTTATTACCATATTAACAACCAAAACAATAAGACACACAAGGAAGAAGATATCAAATCCACTTTGCGAGCACTGGCTTCCTGACACATCAACTCATTTTTAATAGAAAAGGAATAGTGTACTCAGTTTGCTTAGGAGCTAGAAGATCACTTTGAATTTTGCATTTCCTAACTGCAAACAGAATACAGCATTTACAACAGGTTATAAATAAACTGATTTTCAATCATAGAGCCAGCCCCAATGATAATAATACATTATTTTAAAAGACCTAAGTGAATGAATTCAATTTCCAATGGAAAAAAAAAAGAACCGTGTAAACAAGCTAAAAAATTAAGCACAATTAATAAAACTCAAGAGAGAGAAATTGGGGTTCAACCTGAAGATCCAAAAAGCAAAAAAACAGCCAGCCACTGGGTCTTACCTTGACCTCAGTTTTAAATGGTGATCCTGTCTCCCAAAATCTCAGAATGACACTGTGTGTTGAGAGTTGAGAGTTTCCTCCCATTCTATAATCCTCTGTAGGGCTGGGATTAAAGGTGTGCACCACCATGATTAAAGGCATGCACCTCCTGGTTTGTATGGCAACTAGTGTGGCTACTGAGATTAAAGGTGTGTGTCATGGCTACTGGGATTAAAGGTGTGTGTTACCATAATCTGGTCTATAAGGCTGACCAGTGGGACTATTTTACTCTCGGCTCTTCAGGCAGTCTTTATTTATTAAAATACAGTTGAAATGCCACTACATAAAACTACCAGTTTTTGTGCCAGTGTTATAAAATGTAGCTTTTAATAAAACCTTGACCCAAATGCCAGTAACTTCAGAAAAGAATTTGGATGGAAGAAGAAACATATCTCCTTTAGGAAAAATAACAACTATCTTTTTTTTCCAATCTTCAACACACACAATTTAAACATGTACAATTGTTGTAACACTTTACGTAATTCCTATGTAGTGGAGTAAGAACAAGGTCTAATAACAACTATAAACACTGGGTCAAGGCTTTACATAAAAATACCAACCATTCTACTTTCCCCCATAAGTGTCTAAAATATCACATACTTTCCTCAACATCTACAGCCATCCAGGAATTTTTAGAAAACTTCTGTGCATGATCTTAATTCCTAATCCCTGGCCCATGGGGTTCAGTGAAAAAAGATCAAAACCATCAAAAGTGATGGTTCACTTGAAGTCAAATGTGAGACCCTGGCTCAATTAGTCTCTTAGGGTGAAAGCATTGCTGCATCAACTGGCTCCATCAGGAGGGGCACATGAAGGATCTCATCAACCAGTCATCTATACAGTCCAGGTGATAGGTGTGTATGCATGGTAGAAATCGAATTAGGTCCCCATAAACAAAGTCCATCATATATATCACACACTCTCGGATCCTTTTTTCTGATCCATCTCTTCCAGGGTCATAAACTCCTTTAGGCAGATGTTGTATAAGGCCTATTCTTTGAGCTACTCTCATTTGTTCCTCTTCAAGCACCTGAGTTGATAACCAAATCAGGCTAGGTGTTGGATGAAATCGTTCCTGATTTGGCTCCGTCCTCTCGCCAAAGCTAGCCCTGTCGGACTGAGACTCGTGAAGGGGAGAGATGTCATCTGAGGTCGGGGATCTGAGGCAGTTCCCCATCTTCCGGGGCTGGGATGTGTGCCTGAGATCTGGGGGAAGAAGAAAGCTGTGACTCAGTCTCTTGCACACTCAGAGGTGAGCTTGCTCAGCACTGCAAGGTTCAAGACAGCAGGCCTGGGGCACAGGGGGCGGCTCCCTGCTGAGGGGCCCTTCATAACAGCCAGGGGAAGGGGAAGTAAGGCAAGGGTTTTGGAGCACTCTGGTTTTGCTAACAATGGCATAGTCAGCAGAATACCAAAAAAAAATTAATAAAGCAAATTTTAGGGTGGGCATAGATTAGAAAATCACAGGCCCAAAATGTTTATGTAGTTTTATAATGTATCACTGTGTCACTCATGGGAACTATTATGCTAAGTATGTCAACCTATAGAAGAATGAAAATAGATGTGTATCTATCACCACGCAAAAAACTCAAGTCTAAATGGATTAAAGACCTCAATATTAGTCTGACCACACTGAACCTGGTAGAAAAGAAAGTGGGAAGTAGTCTACAAAACATGGGCACAGGAGACCACTTCCTATGTAGAACCCCAGTAGCACAGACATAAGAGCAACAATGAATAAATGGGACCTCCTGAAACTGAGAAGTTTCTGTAAAGCAAAGGACACTGTCATTAAGACAAAAAGGCAACCTACTGATTGGGAGAAGATCTTCACCAACCCCGCATCAGACAAAGATCTGATCTCCAAAATATATAAAGAACTCAAGAAACTAGACTTTAAAATGCTAATTAACCCAATTTAAAAATGGGGCACTGTACTGAACAGAGAATTCTCAACAGATGAAGTTCAAATGGCCAAAAGACACTTAAGGTCATGCTCAACCTCCTTAGCAATCAGGGAAATGCAAATCAAAACAACTTTGAGATACCATCTTACACCTGTCAGAATGGCTAAAATCAAAAACACCAATGATAGCCTTTGCTGGAAAGGATGTGGAATAAGGGGAACATTCATTCATTGCTGGTGGGAATGCAAACTTGTGCAACCACATGGAAATCAGTGTTTCGGTTTCTCAGGAAATTCGGGATCAACCTACCCCAGGATCCAGCAATACCACTCTTGGGAATATACCCAATAAATGCCCTATCATACTACAAAAGCATTTGTTCAACTATGTTCACAGCAGCATTATTTGTAATAGCCAGAACCTGGAAACAACCTAGATGCCCCTCAATGGAAGAATGGATAAAGAAAGTGTGGAATATATACACATTAGAGTACTACTCAGTGATAAAAATGACATCTTGACTTTTGCATGCAAATGGATGGAAATAGAAAACACTATCCTGAGTGAGGTAACCCAGACACAAAAAGATGAATATGGTATGTACTCACTCATAAGTGGATTCTAGCCATAAATAAAGGACATTGAGCCTATAATTCGTGATCCTAGAGAAACTAAATAAGAAGGTGAATCCAAAGAAAAGCATATAGTTATCCTCCTGGATATTGGAAGTAGACAAGAATTGCCAGGCAAAAATTGGGAGCTTGGGGGTGGGGGATGGATGGGAGTAAGGGGAGAGGGTGAGAGAGAAGGGAGAAGGGGAGGATGGGGTGAGCTTGGGGGAATGGGATGATTGGGATGGAGGAAGAGTGGATATGGGAGCAGGGAAGTAGATATCTTAATTAAGGGAGCCATTTTAGGGTTGGCAATGTTTTCCATTTACTGTGCATGAGTATGTGTGTTCTAAGTGTACAGTGTATTACCACATGTATATTAGGGTGTCTAAAAGTAGATGGAGGCTTAAGGACAGTGTGAAGGGTCCTGCTTTCGCTCTCTACCTTATTCCTTTGAAACAGAGCCTCTTACTGAACCTGTAGCTAGGCTAGCCGTCAGAAAACCCAAACAATCCTCCTACCTCTGACTGCCACAGCACTTGGATAACAGACTCACAGAACCACACTGAGATTTTTACTGGGTTCTGAGGATTTGACCTCGAATTTTCATTCATTTGGCAAGCTCTCTTACTCACTGAGTCAAACTTTGCAAATAAACTTCTAAATTAAGCTTTTGGTGATTTTAACAACAAAAATAAAGCAGAGAAAGTCCAAAAGACCCTGGGTAAATTGCCATGGGCCATGCCAGAGGAGCAGTGAGTTGCAGCTGAAGTTCCAGGTGTCAGCCCAGCAGAGGAGAATCCTCTGCTGGGTCAATCTCGTTTAGGCAAGAACACAGGACTAAAGACCCAGGAATGCCTTTCACTTCTCCTGTGCCTTTTTGTTGCATCTCTCTTTCTCTGGTATCCCAGCATGGTGTGAGTGGACATGGGGGGGATTTCCACTGCCTGTAATAGATAGTGTGTTTATCTCTTGGAAACAGCCTGTTCTACTGGGCATTTTTACCTGCAGACTGTCAAGAAGATGACCTCTCCCTAAGATGTACTATCTAATTTGATAATAATGATGATAGCTTATATAGAGTTTTGATGAATAAAAATAAATACAAGATTATGTTTCACATCCAGAGTCTGTGAGTCTCACCTAAGGGCTGCAAGGATTGTAGCTCAAATTAATGACAAACAATTGAGTCCCAGTAGTCCAGCTAGTTTAAATTCTTTTAACCTTAATGTTGGGAAATGTGTTCACAGGTCCTGGAGTATAACACAGCTGAAACAATGTTTTGAAAGTAATGAAGTTATACTAAGATGTCTTTGTTAAATAACTTTGAGGTGAAAAACTCCAGGAGATAACCTAAAGTTTTAGAAAGGCACATAGTTGAATGTGTGGTGTTGAAGGTCCTTCTGTCTATGTGTTGCTTTTATTGTTTAATGAATAAAGAAACTGCTTTGGACCTATACCAGGGCAGAACAGAGTTAGGCGTGAAAAACTAAGCTGAATGCTGGGAGAAAGAGAACGAAGTGGTAAGACGCCATGGTCCACCAGTTGGAACATTGTCAGTAGGTCACGAGCCTCGTGGTAAAATATAAAATAATAGAAATGGGTTAATTTAATATGTAAGAGCTTGCTAGGAATATGCTAGCATCATTGGTAAAGCAGTGTATTAAATAATGTAGTTTCTGTGTGATTATTTTGGATCTGAGTGGCCAGGAACAAACAAGTGACCTCCATACTACAAATGTGAAACCCTTTAAGGTCAGGGAACAAGAACAAAGCAGCCCAATTATTACTGGCTGACATACTCTCCTTGCTAGGTTTGGTTGATTACCAAAGGCGATGATTAAATACCCATTTCGCCCTCAATCTCCTGATACAAAAGAAACTATTAATGAATGGATGTGTACCCTAAAGATTTAAGTAGAGCTGATTCTTTTTCCTATATAAACGTTTAGGTTTGTAATTCCTTTAAGATTCCTTATAGCATTACCTTTCAAGATAAGTAATAAAGTAACTGGCCCTTTCTTTGTAACTGCAAAAATGCTGCCTGACAGTAAAAGATCTGACAAGAACACCTTACTGCCCACATGTTTAATCTGTAACAAGTTGCTTGGATATGAATGTATATGGGTTCTTGGGATAATTTGTTTTTCACCTGTAATACATAAAATGTTTAATCATGTGAGGGAGATAAAAAAAAACATGTTTTTACCTATAATCATTTACTTGAAAAATGGAATGCAACTATTTTGACTCTTATACTGCCTGAAAGATTCTGTAGGGATATAAAAGTTATGGAAAAACACAAGAGAGAAGGGGGGAGGAAATAAAGAGAAAGAAAATATAGAAAGGGAGAATAAATAAGGAAAACCATCAAGAAAGTTTGTGAGTGTCTTTTTCCCTAACCTTACCTCAGCTAGAAAAGTTTAGCCTCCTGGATTCCATGGATTCCTATCAAAGCTCTGTGTTGCTGGAGGCTGCCCCCCCACAGCAGTAGTAAATCATTATAGAAAAAAGGACAAGCCTAACAGATAGCCTTCAGTGAACTACTGTGTTACCCAGGGAATTTGCACAACTCAAAATATGCTATGGGATAGAGAAATTTAATCAAGTACCATGGAGCAAACCACCAACTACTCAAATGTCTCATTACACTAATTATACATAAACCTTTCCCTCCAAATATAAGTCTGGTTTGGGAAGCTTTCTAGCTCACCTGAGAAGAGATGGTCCATAAATCTAAAGAAGTACCAAAGGACCTAGCTTGTTGGTAAAATTTGGGGGTTTTGTCTGGCTGAGTAAGATCCACATATTTCCACAGGAAATAAAAGACAAAGTATAACTTTTCCTTCTTCCACACATAGTCAAACCAGTATAGGATCTTGTGAGGCTACTGTACTACTGGTGGGCTTTTTAATCTCACATTTGGCCCAGATATTGAGGACCCTCTACAAACTAAGTGGAAATGTAATAGTAAGGAAATACACAGAAGCTGTACCATGACTTTCATTTAAGCAAAACTGTTATCAGACACAGGCAAAAGAGACATAATACATCTCAGCCTAAAGAGGTGAAAGTGCACATAGATCAGGATGGATTCAGTTGTAGATGCTGTCAAGGGACAAATGGCTCCAAACAGATTTCTGTTTTTGGCTATAAAAGGATATCTTTCGGTGTCAAGGTTGTTTTAAGCAATTGGAAATCAAATGCAGGCGATTTCAGTACTCACTGGAACTCCCAAAACTTTTCTGTTTTCTGTCTTATTATTTTTTGCATCTTCGTATTCTTTATTAATATTTCTAAATCCCCATGTTGGGCAGACTGAGAAGCCATTGATAATAGCACTGGGACCTGTTTCTACTGCATGTGCTGGCTTTTTGAGACCCTAGTCTATTTGGATGCACACCTTCCTAGGACTGGATGGAGGGAGGAGGGCCTTGGACTTCCTACAGGGCAGGGTACCTTGCCCTCTCTTAAGGAGGGAGGGGGAGGGAGGGGAGTGAGTATGGGAGTGGAAGGGGAATGGGAGGAGGGGAGGAAGTGTAAATTTTTGAATGGAAAAAAATAATGAAATACCACTATATACATATTACAATGGCTAAAATTTGGAAGGTGGACAAGAGTAAATGCTGATGAGAATGAAACTCTCATAAACATTGTCA